GGTTGAGCATCGCCCTGTGCACTGAAAGGTCGCCAGTTCGATGCCCGGTCAGGGCCCAGGCCCGGGTTGCGGGTTCCGTCCCCCGTTGGGATGTGTATGGGAGGCAACCGGTCAATGTTTCCCTCTCACATTGATGTGTGTCTCTCTCCCCCTCTCCCTTCCTCTCTCTCTCTGGAATCAAGTTTTAAAAATAAAGGGGGGGGGGGTTATAATTCCACGTAGGAGCCGCTGCAATTCTCCTATCCTTCCTGTAAAGACACCCAGTGGAACAGGATGGAGGTTTGCACTAGACCTCGGAGCTATAAATAGGCTAGTTAATCCCCGACACCATGGGGCTCCAAATCCGTGTACCGATTAGCGGCCCTTCCTGGGCCTGCCGGCGTTTTTCGCTAATAGGTTTACGTGGCGTCAGCTCCGCACTCCGGTGGGAAGACGGTCCATGCTGCTTTGCCTCCACCTGGGAAGATTACAAGTTTGCTCTTCTCTGTCCGTCAACAACATACGAGAGGCCCGCCTACTGCCTTAGACCAAGCGTGTCAAACTCAAAGGCTCCCACGGGCCAAACAAACAAGGTTTACGTGGACGTGGCCGCCAAAAACCAAAAGCTTCAATCTTCACAGAAACGTCGGTTTATTCCGATAGAGACACGCTGAATGCAAAGGGCTGACATAAACGAGTCACCGTTCACATAAAATAACAACATTTTAATAAAAAGTAATATTTTTTCCTGAACATTCACTTACCAGACACTGAATAACTGCACAAATTAATAAGTGTAATGCAAATAAACCTATTTTTCTTGTTCTCTGAAAGCGAAATATTTCCTGTTGCGCACACCAAACAAGTCAGTTCGAGACTAATGACGTCCATCGGCCGCTAAAATATTCGCTGCTGGTGTTAGTGGAGAGAAATGGTGTGCCTGCACGTAAGGCGCGTAAGGGGAATGAACACAACATGAGATAGTCATCAGTCATTAGCGAATGTTGTAGCTCGTTATCAATAATTATATATGACAGGATATTGTAAAAATTAAGTTAGAAATTTTTATTAAAATGTTTCTTTCATACCGTTATATCGGCTGGGCCGCAAAAACATTCCTTGTGGGCCGCGTGTGGCCTGCAGGCCGAGAGTTTGACATGCTTGCCTTAGATACTGAACGCTGCCCTAAATGATGCTAAA